CTGTTCATTTCTACTGTTTTGATAAGATCCAATTGCTAACAGCGTCACACTAAAGGAATAATTAACTTGAAAGTGAAATAGTATAAACACAGTAAATAACTGGAGAACATGATGTTTTATGATAGTTATTTTTCTATGTCCTTTCTTCAATGACTTTTTCCTATGACTTTTCCGTCCACCATTTGTTCAAGGTCACGTGAATCAATCAGAGATAGATATTATCATCATGAGGTAGGGTGGGGAAATGTGCAATGGACGTGCTTATGAACCTTGAACTTGCAGTTACATTTAATTATTTGTGTACAGATATTGGTCTAGAATAATTTATCAATTCGTTTAGTCTTGAAGATGTATTGATGTAGGGACTCCATTATGTTCTTGTTGACATTGTTGGTAGCTAGAGGTGTTCTTAATTTTCACAGTTTGGAGTGAGTGAGCGAGTGAGTTTAGTTTAAGGCTGCACTCAGCAATATTCCAGCTATATGGCGGCTGTCTGTAAATATTCGAGTCTGGACCAGACGATCCAGTGATCAACAAATTGAGCATCGATTTGAGCAGTTGGATGAGTGAGTTTAGTTTTAGGCTGCACTCAGCAATATTCCAACTATATGGCAGCGGTCTGTAAATAATCGAGCCTGGACCAGACAATCCAGTGATCAACAGCATGAGCATCGATCAGCGCAATTGGGAACCGATGACATGTGTCAACCAAGTCAGCAAAGCCTGACCACCCGATCCCGTTAGTCGCCTCGTACGACAAGCATGGGTTACTGAAGATCAATTCCTAACCCGGATCTTCACGGGTTCGGCGCAACCGGGAACCGATGACACGTGTCAACCAAGCCAGCGAGCCTGACCACCCGATCTCGTTGGTCGCCTCTTACGACAAGCATGGGTTACTGAAGATCAATTCTAACCCGGATCTTCACGGGTTCGGCACGACCGGGGAACCGATGACACGTGTCAACCAAGCCAGCGAGCCTGACCACCCGATCCCGTTGGTCACCTCTTACGATAAGCATGTGTTATTGGAGGCCAATTCTAACCCGGACCTTCACGGGTTTCACAGTTTTGTCTTCTTGAGAGGGCACGTAAGTCTCAATACATTTGAAGTAAATTTAGATATACCAGGTTTATAATAGTAGGATACTTGTGTTTTAAGTGATGGCTAAATTTGTGCCCAACCGCCACCGTATGAAGGGACCATGTAAGTCCTTCTAGGGTGGGTGGGGAGTGAAGGTGGTATGGGAGCATTGAGGGGGCAAGGCAGGCTGAGCGAGTGTAGTAATTGAGGGGCTATGGGAAGCCTTGACCGTGGAGTTTGTTATGGTTGGTGCTGCGAGGCAGCGGAGTCGGTGGTGGCTGGAGGCGCGCGGACCTCGGAGGAGACAGTAGTTGTTGGCAGGTAGAGTTGGTGTGAAATAATGAAGGAAAAGAGAGGCGCGCGGACCTCTGAGAAGACAGGTGGTAGGAGAGAGAGGGAAGTTATAGATGGCGGCGATAGTGAGCAGAAAGTGGATCGAGATTGCTAGGGTTGAGAGGTGGGCGCGGACGTCGGAGAGGACAGTCACGCACATATGGTGAATTTGGAGTGACTACATACCTATCACATGTTTAAAGTGGCATTTAGAAGGTGGTGTGATGAACCACAAAGGAGAGTTCTATGGATATACACCTTCTTTAATATGATATGAGCGACGTTTCGGTGTAGCTACTAACACCGTTATCAAGCAAATGATATCATATAGAACTCTCCTTGCTGTACATACCTATCCGTGAAACAATTAAGTAACGAAACAATAGGCGAGAGCTTTCAATGCAACTGATAGCTCATGCGGGGAATTAATGACAGATGGTCGGATTGGGATGTGCTGATAGAAAGCCAGTTTTAAAGAGAACAAGAGTTGAAAATGGATTAAGTCAAATTAAGTCAAAATGAGTTGAAATTTGTGTCATGATGCTTATAAATATACACTCATTCATTTATAACCTCCAAAAACATGAATTCTGATCGAAATTAAAACATTCTCGCCCATGGGCCAACATATTTTCGCCCATGGGCGAGATTTATAATATCGGCTCTAAGTTAGTCGAATTAAGTCAAAAAGGAGTTGAAATTTGTGACATGATGCTTATAAACATACACTCATTCATTTACAACCTTCAAAACATGGAAAAACATGTATTTTGAGTAAAGGAATATTCTCGCCCATGGGCCAAAATGTTTTCGCCCATGGGCGAGATTTTTAATATCGCTCTAAGTTAGTCAAATTAAAGTCAAAATGAGTTGAAATTTGTGACATGATGCTTATAAATATACACTCATTCATTTATAACCTCCAAAACATGAATTCTGATCGAAATTAAACATTCTCGCCCATGGGCCAACATATTTTCGACCATGGGCGAGATTTTTTTAATATCGCTCTAAGTTAAGTCGAATTAAGTCAAATGAGTTGAAATTTGTGACATGATGCTTATAAACATACACTCATTCATTTTACAACCTTCAAAACATGGAAAAACATGTATTTTGAGTAAAAGGAAATATTCTCGCCCATGGGCCAAAATGTTTTTTTCGCCCATGTGCGAGATTTTATAATATCGCCCCAAGTTAGTCGAATTAAGTCAAAATGAGTTGAAATTTGTGTCATGATGCTTATAAACATACACTCATTCATTTACAACATCCAAAACATGGGAAAACATGTATTTTGAGTAAAAGTAAATATTCTCGCCCATGGGCCAACATATGTTTCGCCCATGGGTGAGATTACCTAATATCGCTCTAAGTTAGTCGAATTAAGTCAAAATGAGTTGAAATTTGTGTCATGATGCTTATAAACATACACCCATTCATTTACAACCTCCAAAACATGAATTCTGATCGAAATGCTACATTTCTCCCATGGGCCAACATATTTTTCGCCCATGGGCGAGATTTACAATATCGCCCTAAGTTAGTCGAATTAAGTCAAAATGAGTTGAAATTTGTTTCCATGATACCCATAAGTATACACTCATTCATTTACAAAATCCAAAACATGGAAAAACATGTATTTTGAGTAAAGGAAATATTCTCGCCCATGGGCCAAAATGTTTTCGCCCATGGGCGAGATTTCTAATATCGCCCCAAAGTTAGTCGAATTAAGTCAAAATGAGTTGAAATTTGTGTCATGATGCTTATAAACATACACTCATTCATTCACAACATCCAAAACATGGGAAAACATGTATTTTGAGTAAAAGTAAATTATTCTCGCCCATGGGCCAACATATGTTTCGCCCATGGGCGAGATTTTGTTAATATCGCTCTAAGTTAGTCGAATTAAGTAAAAAATGAGTTGAAATTTTTGTCATGATGCTTATAAACATACACTCATTCATTTACAACCTTCAAAACATGAATTTTGAGCGAAATTAAACATTCTCGCCCATGGGCTAAAATGTTTTTTTTCGCCCATGGGCGAGATTTTTAATATCGTTCTAAGTTAGTCGATTTAAGTCAAAATGAGTTGAAATTTGTGACATGATGCTTATAAACATACACTCATTCATTTACAACCTTCAAAACATGGAAAAACATGTATTTTGAGTAAAAGGAAATATTCTCGCCCATGGGCCAACATATTTTTCGCCCATGGGCGAGATTTTTTAATATCGCTCTAATTTAATCGATTTAAGTCAATATGAGTTGAAATTTGTGACATGATGCTTATAAACATACACTCATTCATTTACAACCTCCAAAACATGAATTCTGATCGAAATTAAACATTCTCGCCCATGGGCCGGCCCATGGGTTACTGTTCGCCCATGGCAGGCCCCATGGGCGAGCGAGTTTAAATTTAAAGTTTTCGAAAAAGATTTTTTCATTTTTTCATCCTTGGCATATGTTCATAACAACTGCATGTTTAATTTGGTCAAACCCCTTGTCAGAAAGTGCCCACAGTGCGGGAGAGTTTCTGGACTTTGTGAGTCCAGAATTAAATTGTGACGTGTTCTCTTTATTTAACGAATAACTGTTAAAGATATGTTTATGTAATAGTATTTAACTTCCGATTTCTTACATGTACGTGTTTGTATCTATTGCAGAAAGTAGCAACTGCGACTCTCAGTCCACAAAAGATCGAAGTTGTAACTTGGAGAGAACATGTGTATCGGAGTGTATTAATAACACTGAAACCCAAAATAGTGGATAAATAGATCACATGAATGTCCTTGAGTATATTGCACATTGATAAACCTCCTGGTAATATATAAGTATATATGTATCTGTGAGCAGATATCACACTGATACCGAAAGGATGACTAAATATACCTTACGGTAACGACGTGAAGAAAAACAAAATAACGAAATGTGTCAAATGAAAAAAATATTATTTTTTTTATTTCGTTTCATTTTTGTAAAATTTACATTCACTGTACAAAGGGTATATTAGTATATAATAGCAACTGTCGGCACATGAAATATGTGATAAAACATCGTAACGAAAATGGTATGAGCACAAATAGTTACCGTACATATATAATTTTACGTAACAACTACTTTCCACCATATAATGATTAATAATATGGCCTCATCTTATGTTAGGATATTTAATATGTACATATGAATAAAGTAGCTCACGCGAAAGGCATCGATGTAATGGATTTACAATCAGAGCAAGAAAACATGTCGCAAAAGCAGTAATGCAGAGAGCAAGAAGAAGGACATTGTCGTGGTGTCGCCAACAGGAAAAAGCAAAACTTACTTATGTAATGTACCAAAGCGAGAAGGGCACAGCAACGCGGCATTTCAGACCATTTACGGTATATCCTCATCCTCACGGAAATAATTGCTTTCCTCAAAAATCATTGCTTCCAATACTATTTGGGGCTCAAGAAGGTCTGTTTAAACCCCGTTTCATTTCAAGTCTTTCATTTGTGTTTCAACTTTTCAGAAACCATACTCTTTGTAAAGCGCGTCCTCTGCATTGGTCATCCGTGAGGAGATAAGGTGGCCCAGGATCCCTCGTCCCAAATAACAGGAGTTCTTCTGTAAAGTGCGACAACAAGATGACCACCGGATGATGGCGCTTTATCTTTCTAGGTGAACCAGGATCCCTTCGTACCCAAATGCCTAGACTTGAGCTCTGGAGTACGACGACGACACCGACATTGCATGGAGGCACTGTATGTTTCTGTGAGTAGGTAAGCTGATCCAAGATCCATCGTTTGACGGTTCAGGAACCAAACGCCAGGTTAATATCCACTGAACTGTCAACTTCACGGTTGTTTTATCAATCTGTGTCACCTTAGGTTGTCTTCCAACGTTGTGCAAACACACAATGACAAAAGTGACTATAGTGTTTAAATAAACATCAATTCCAAATTACACATATTCCATCAAACAGACCTGCACGAGACAAGTCCAATGCCACAATTATAGGGTTCAAATAAAACTGCCCTCCTCTGCCTGGTAGACTTGTAAAATTCCTTACAATCGATAGAGTCCCTGTGTAGAACCTTTCCTTCCACCGGGTGGGCAATACGTCATACGCTTAGAGCAATCCTTCCCTGCTTAGTGACTAGTGTTTGCATCATCTCAGTTTGATCCTGGTTTAACTCAGCATCAGCATCAGCATCCCTGAGTGAGGGATCCGAGTTTAACTCGGGGTCAGCATACTTGAGTGAGAGATCCGAGCTGCAAGGTTCTTCAGAAATAAAGGAGGATACATTAGACACGTTGTCATGAGGACGTGGTTCGTAGTTTGAAAGAGACTTCATTTCGGGGTCATCACAATAAATGGGATTAAGCATTTGGATATGTGGCATGGATTCTTCAGGACTGACTATAGAGACAGCAATGGACGTCATACCTTCTTCTTCAACATCGTAGGTTTTCTTGATGTTGAAACCCTATAACGAGTAGAGACAGTAATGCTGGTTGATTTCCTTCTGAATGTAAGCTTGCTTTGAGGGTATTATTATGTTTGTTGTTTAACGCTAAACACGGCATTATTGCAGCTGTTTGGCGGCGGCCTGCAAATAGTCGAGTCTGGACCAGATAATACAGTGATCAACAGCATGAGCATCGATCTACGTATTTGGGATACGATGACATGTGTCAACCAAGTCAGCGAGCCTGACCAATCCGATCCTGTTAGTCGCCTCTACGACAAGCATGGTGTGCTGAAGACCAATTGATTCCTTTTGAAGTTAAGTTATAAACCTTGACAAATCGTTAATCAGATGACCACAAGAAGAGTGGACAGGGTACAATGTACAGCATATGTCTACACTGACCTGCAAAACAGCACAGTACCCGTGATGACCAGTACAAGTAATATCCCTGCTAACAGTCCGACTGCTAACCCAAGCACTGAAATAAATACATTAGGTATTTTATATAGCCATATATATTCATCTTTACATCTTTACATCTTCAAAACATGATCAGTTAGTGGAAATTATAGAAACTAACTCACCAGATTTTTGTTGTCTACATATGGCCACGATAACGTCTAAAAACCTCGGCCTCATCTCACAAAACACTAAGGTGATCGTAAGTCACTAGGGTAACCTTAGTGCAATGTTAAAGAATGGAAGTTAAGGTTAACCTTAGTAAAGGCTGCTGCTGTTTGAAAGGAGCCCTGAAATGTGACAATTTCACACAACCTAAAAAGTTATGAAATGCCTTCTTTCAGATCACTTACAATGATTAATACATTTTATTTCATATATGAGAAGCATATTGTCAAAATGAGATTAATTACAAGTTGAATTGTGAACTTTATTACCAGGAAAGCTGTAGCCTGAGAATTGGCATCGGGGCGAGTGTTGTTATCTGAATTAGGAGTACTTTTAGAAGTCTCCTGTGCTAGTGTTGTAAACGATGGTACTGTATATGAAGCTAACGGCTGGGATGATGGTGTTGAGGGTTGGTTCTTTGCCCCTTGTTTGGTCGTCACCAGCACGCTGGCAGTTGTTTCTGGAGCACTCGTTAATGGAAGTGATGTATTTGAAGTGATGCTTTCTGCGTTGTCTTTGGCTGATGATGTTAATGAAACAATAGGCCGTGGACGGGACGTTACTACAGGGTCTGTCTCGTGTGTTGTTGTTTTGTCTGATGCTATCGCTGAAACACTAGACCCTGGACTGGACGTTACTGCAGGATCTGTCTCTGGTGCTGATGTTCGGGTATGTGCCTTCGTTGAAGATGTAGTTGTAGCTGTTGATGTTGAATACATAAGAGAAGATGCTAATGTTGTTGTTGATGGTGATGGTGCTATTGATGTTGGTGTTGATGTTGATGTTGATGCTGATGGTGTTAAAGACGTTGCTGGTGATGATGTTACCAATGGTGTCGTCTGTGTTGAAGCGGTTGATGTAGTTAAGGATGCCGTGTTGTTACCAAAGCAACAACACCAGACGAACAATTGAGCTGCATAGTAACGTCTGCAAAACAAATGATTAATGATAAGACATGGACAGATTTGGAAGCCATGTCAGCTTTACTGTGGAATCGAAGAAACACCCGACGCGATATAGGCCCTCAGGCTTTCACCACTGAGAAACCAAATAATACGGGCCTGATGCTGTCACAGAATCACAATAAATAAATCTGACATTCGATCGTGCGGGATTCTGTCACGACCAAGGGCGCAACTCTGCAATATGTAGCTTTTTCAGAGGGCAGGCACTATGCTAACCCCTCACTGATAAGTAAGGCTTTTATTATATGACGTTAACACATAGATAGCAGATCATTACAGATACATGCTCCAAACAACATACTTGTTTTGATATGCAGACAATATCTAGCGAATCCATGTCCTTTAATGTCCACTCTCAAAGCGTATGAACTGTTCAGAACGGTTGTTGCGGAATTCTTTTGTTCTTTGGCAACCCAGACTATATCTGAGATCAGTAATACTGATTTCTGTGCCGCAGTTCTTCGTGTCATAATATCTTCGGGTAGATTCCTACAGATGCATGACCAGCACTCACAGCAAGATCGCAAGAACACCCCGTAAACTGATCTGAGTAGAGGCTTGTGTCCAGGTAGAGGCGGAGTCCGTCTCGGCTGTCACCCCCGACACATTCCTACAACTGAATGACTCAATGTAATGAGTAACTGTTGTTTATTGAACATCATTCGTAACCACTCACCTCTTTGGGCGGTGACCTACAAGAAGACTCCTCGTACCTGTATAGTACACCTCTATTTCAATAATCGTGGCAAAACCAATCAAATGGGGTGATGTAAGACGCATTTCGAAGCATGAAAAGGGCGCCACCGTCAAACTTTGAAACTTCGCAAACTGTGCAAAGCACAATTAAACACTTCTCTAACGGATATGGGATAATCTAGGAGTAGCCGTGATTGAAAATTCAGAGTTATCTTTCCTGGAAATAGTATTAGACTATTTTCGTCTCCGAGCCCGTTTGCTTTTGACAAGGCCCAGTCGTTAACATGGCTACGAGATGGTATGAAGTCGTCATCCGGCTTGCCGGAATGACACGAGTAGTTAGGAAATGATAGAGCGTGTTACTCGTTTGTAAGAGCGCTCAGTCAGTCAAAAAAGGACATTTATGTGTGAGGTAAGACACTAGTTCTTGCGTGCACAGCCTAAAATAATGTGGTAAAGGGTAAAACACACCTGGTATATCCGCCTTGGGACACACAGACACTGTAAGCATAAAGAGTGCGTTTGAAATCATATACAGAATCAGTTTAACTGCATGTAACATCACTACGCATTTACATATGCGCCATGTGAGAACCCGTAGATCAGGATTAAAATTTGTCTTCCGCCCAGCTCATGCTTGTCATACGAGGCGACTAAAGGGATCGTGCGGTCAGACTCGCTGTTTTGGATTTGGCATATGCCATCGTATCACAATTTCTTAGATCGATGCTCGTGCTGTTGATGACTGTACTGTCTGGTACAAGCTCGATTATTTTACAGACCGCCGCTATATAGCTTGGATATTGCTGATTGCGGCTTTAAACAACAAACAAGCAAATGCCTTTTGTTGCCTGTACGTCTAAATGATAGGTATCATTGATTGATTCTATACAATTATAGACTGGTGATATGAGTCAAAGGA